ATTAATTTATTTTTTGTTTAATAATATAGTTTTTATTAAAAATAATAATTAAACATTATGTTAGAAACTCAATGATTATCTTAATTATATTTTAGATTTTCTATATTTAAAATAGATGCTTATCTTGTATTTGATTATGTTTATCTTCAGTTAGTTACACGAATATAGAAATGAAGCCTTAATAAGTTGTACTTATGCAAAATCACTTGTAATCTTGAATTTTAAGTAATATGCATCAGTAAACAATACATTATGCATAAAAATGGTTTTTAAGAGTTACTTTGATACTATTATCGATTTATTTTTTTACAAATTTTTATTAAATCATTAAATTACTTTGTTATTAAATCTAAATTAAATTATAATAAAAAATTAAATTAAAGAAGTTACACAAAAAAAGAGAACTATTAAATAGTTAATTTGATACTATTATCGATTTATTTTTTTACAAATTTTTATGTTATCTTTAAATTGATATTTAATTCAAAAATAAAAATATTACCGTTTTCTCAAACCACATAAAATTGTATTATACCGATAGAGACAAAGAATAAAAACTAAACATTAAAATTGAGATTTATCTCGCTGCATTGCGTGAGTACCCTTCTAGTCTATACTATATTATAATGCATTTGATAAAACTCTTAAAATCCATTTTTTATACATGAAGTAATGTTTATTGATGCGTATTACTAAAGCTTGTTGTTTGAATTCGTGTAACTAACTGCAAATAAACATAATCAAATACATGATAAACATCTCATGTTAAATATAAAAAATCTAAAATATAATTAGAATAATCATTGAGTTCTAACAGAATATTTAATTATTATCTTTATAAAAACTTATATTATTAAACCTAAATTAAATTACTTTAAATTAAATTATAATAAAAATTATGAATTAAAGAAATTACATAAAACAAGAACTTTTAAATACTTAATTTAATACTAGTATCCATGTATAATTTTTTTTTAATTATGATATTTTAAAATTTATATTTTATTCAAAAATAAAAACATTATCGTTTTTTTCAAAATTATATAAAATTGTAATATGTCTTGATGTATTGCACGAATATCATTCTAATATATATATATATATATATATAGAGAGAGAGAGAGAGAGAGAGAGAGTTTGTTTCAAATACAACATGTCGTATTTGTACAACCAATGCAACCCAATAAATTGAGATATTTATAGAAATGATAAGAGTTCATTTATTATGATTTGAATATTTATGAAAGATGAATATGGTTCATTAATTATGATCAATGTTTTATATTAGTAAACAATCAAAACTTTTATGAAATCACATATTAATCAAATGAAATGAACGGTTGAGATTGGGTTGTATTGGTTGCACAAATGTCAAATGTTGTATAATAACCAGCCCCTCTCTCTCTCTATGTGTGTGTGTGTGTGTGTGTATATATATATATATATATATATATATATGGGCTATATTGCAAACCGCCTATTTCATGCAAACTATATAAACCAATTTCAACCAATAGGAAAATTCTATGTTTTATTCTTTATTTTTTAATGAATAAAAGTATGAATGTCATTTTACTTTGTAATGGTTAATGTTGATAATGTTTTAATTGTTTTTAAATATGAAAAATTAAATATAGTAATTGTTTTTATGGAAGTTGTAAATCAATTTACTTTAGTATATAATTATTCCCATTAATAGTTTATATTTTTTTATTAAATTATACTCCTAAAATATGAATTGTAAAACTATACTCCTGAAATTAGTTTGATTACAAATAATAACAATCTAAACATGTTTCAATAACTATAAATGGATAGTTTCATTTATGGTTCACAACACCATGTCAAATGGTCTATCTTTCATTCAAGGTGACAAGGAGTCTCATGAATTCATTCAAGAAACAGTGAAACGGTTTCATATATTGTTTTGCTTTCATTCGTAAAACAAATGTCATTAATGAAACCACATTATATAATTTTGGTTATGAACCATGAAACTACTTTCATTAATGAATAATAGTATTCAGGTCTTGAAATATTTCATTGACTGAACCATATTTGGTTTCATTAATAAAATCAATTTCATTCTGACTATAAACCCTGAAACCGATTTCATTTTGTTAAAAAACATTTCAGCAATTTTTACTGTTGAAACAATGTCGTTCAGTTTTTGGAATTGTGGAGTCCATGAAACCAATTTCAATGTTGAACCGAATCTCATTAATGAAAACATGTTATTCAGATTTTTTGAAAACGTTCTATTGACTGACCTATATCTGGCTCAAATTTCATTATACAGACGAACAATGAAACAAATTTTAGTAACGAAAAAATGAGATACAATTTCCAAATTGTTTTTATTGATGAAATCAATTTCCAAAAACGAGACGAACAATGGTTTGTCAATTTTATCCTTTCTTGATTAAATATTAAACCTTTTATTTTATTTTTTACCTCTAATATAACATATTTTAATCACAACCATTGATCAAGAAAATGAATGGATGAGATTGGTATGTAAGATTTGCACAAAAAAAAAGTGATTTACATTTGATCATTTATCTCTCTCTATACTTAGATCCAAGTTTAAAGGTTTATATCGAATATCTTTATCCAAGTACAAGTTGGACCCCTACCACTGATACTGATTCATTTAAAAAAGGATAAGATCAACACATAAATCATTAACCAAAATTAAAATTAAAATCAAGAGCCTAACATTATATAAATACTCATGTGAGAATGAGAGTTAAAATAAGAAGTATGAAAATGAATCTAGACTCTTAATATGGGGATTGATCTAGTGGATCTCGTCCTATTATGCATTTAAGGATATGATAATTTTTTACATTTTTCATCTTAACTCTTTTTCTTATCATTATTTATATATATATATATATATATATATATATATATATATATGTCTTTCTCGATATGTTTTCAATAAACTCTAACTCAGCATTATACATAACAAATCTTGTAAGCATACTTGACTTATAATAATTACCCATTTTTAAAATAACATTACCAACACTTTTTACAAACTCAGGGATCAAAGTTTTATAAAAATACAACCAATTTGTTTATATACAATTTTATTACATAACTTTCAGTTAACTTATATATATATATGGTATTCATAACTTTGTCTATAACTAATTTATGATATACTCTTGTTTAATATGATTCTAAATATAGCATAACTATTGCCAATAGCCCAACTAGCAATATTTGGCTGATTTTCTAAAATTTAACCTCTGCCACAAGGAAACGTCAACATTATATGCATTTATATCAATTTTCTTTACATCCAAGTATCAAACAATTGGTATATATGGTAATCAATTAGTGGGGACTGATCATTTTTATAGGGACACAATTTTATTTTGCTTGGTACCATTTGCTGTATGTTCCATTTTGGTTACTTTTTACTAAATGGTCGATTTTTTTTTATGAAATACATCAATCAGTCATATCTATTGTTATGAAATCATTAATGTTGACAAATAAATGTTGAAAAAAACCCATTACTATTTGGCTAGAGACCACACCTAAATATCACGAGAATACGAGTAAAATAACAAAATAAATAATTTTTGTTACAGAGCAAAAACCATAATTATTGATAACTTTCATGTTTTCACCATGATACAGACCATTATTCTATAGTAAATTGAATTCGAAGTTATTGAGACAGCGTATTACTTTAGACTGGAATATAGATACAACCTGTAATATATGTAATTACATACACCATTTACTACAAGTTTGGTTGGAAAGGGAGATTCCATCTCAAAGCACTTGAATTTGGTGGGTGAGTACATTTATGAACCAAATGAGAGATGGACCAATATAAACACACTATGTACTAGCAATTTAGCATACACCTTTACCAACACTAGAGAGTTTTGGCCTATCAACAACAAAAACACACCATTTTTCTTGTGAAATTTTGGAGGAGAACACACACACACACAATGGGAGAAGTTGTGGGTGATTTTGAAGGAGATTTGAAGGAGTTGAGAGATACTTTCAATAGTGGGAAGACAAGAGAAGCATCATGGAGAAGGTCACAACTTCATGGGATAATCTCTCTCCTCAAAGAGAGAGAAAGTGACATCTTCAAGGCTCTCAAACAAGATTTGGGGAAACATCATGTTGAAGCATATAGAGATGAGGTAATCATGTCACGTTTTTTTAAGAATTATTGTGGGTTTTATTCATTAACGTGTCTTCTTTGATGAATTATCGATATCATACGTCTGATAACATGGTTGTTGATAGAATATAGAAGGTTAAAACATTGTTAGGATTAAATATATGTAACTTTAATCATGAAAAAGTGTTTATGTTGAGATTCATATCAGTTTTTCTGTTCTACCTCAGGTTATTTGTGTCAAGTTTAAGTGTAAACATCCTTTTTGAAGTTTTTTTTGGACAACCGTGGGTTTTCGAGTCAGCTTATGCTTACCGACTGATTCCCCAAACTACCAGGAATGTCTTGGAGTCATCGCGGATGAACCTCCAGTGTTTTGATAATGCCTAGATTTGAACCCGCATAAATTATAGGAGATTTTCCATTACATCCTATGATGATTAATTAGTACACAACAACCCAAATGATTGTGTTTTTCGAAGTTGAAATTATCAATTATATATATATATATAATTATATATATATATATAATTTTATTTATATATATATATATATATATATATGTGTGTGTGTGTTATTTTAATAATATTGTTTTGGATTTGAAATTGTGTAGATTGGAACAGTGGCCAAGTCTGCAAATTATGCACTTGGAAATTTAAATAAATGGATGGGCAGCAAAAGGGTAAATTTCTGTCAATTTTTTTTTTGAAGAAATTTTCTGTGTGATATGTTTAGAGGGTAAAATGGTAAATTCAATATTGACAGGTTAAAGTGCCACTAGCTGCATTCCCTAGCAGAGGGAAGTTGGTTCCTGAGCCGCTTGGTGTTGTTCTCATCATATCCTCTTGGAACTTCCCATTTGGTACCCCCCAAATTTTACTATTTTTCCATAACTAACCCTGTAAAATTTTAATTCGTTAACATTAATTAATTTCTTTAGACCTGATTAATTTTTCATCCCCCATTAGCATTTGTACGTTTTCAAAAATACATTTTTTGTAATAAGAAAAAATAATAATAATTTAAATACATTTTTGTAATAAGAAAAAAATTAAAAAATTACAGTACTGTGATAATAAAAAATTATGAAAATAAGTTGTTTTCTTTTACCATATTACTAAAATTTTAGACTTTGTAAAACAGAAAATTCTATCATTTCATTTTTAATTTGTTATTTTTATCCTCGTTTGTTGAAAATATATTACAATAGGATTATCATTGGAACCGATTATCGGGGCTATAGCAGCTGGAAATGCAGTACTCCTAAAGCCATCAGAGATAGCTCCAACATGTTCCTCAGTTCTTGCTGAAACCATCTATTATTACCTTGATAACTCCGCCATTAAGGTTGTGGAAGGTGGATCATCCGTCGGGGAAAAACTTCTTCGACTTAAATTTGACAAAATTTTATACACAGGTGCATATTTGTTCAACCTTATATGTATATAACTCTTATCGTTCTTTAGGATCAACAATCATATAAGTATATCCATATCTAAATTAGTATATGTATATATGTACTTACACACACACACACATATATATATATATATATATATATGTGTGTGTGTGTGTGTGTGTGTGTGTCGGGTTCAAACGAGAAGAATATCTATTTTTAAGGGAATAAGAAAATGGTCGAATCACGTGTGATTTTACACTAACATCACGTACAAAATCACATGTGATTCATGTGACTTTGCCCCGCGACCTAAAGACGCAACCAAAGTCGCTGGCACACCTTTTTTTTAACCGTTAATATAAAATCACAAGTGATTTTTCATGCGATTTGGCCGTTTAGATAGTTAGCATTCTCGTTTGATTCTCCTTCATCCTCTTTCTTTCTCTCTCTCTATATATATATATATTTGTGTGTTTGGGTGGGTGGGTGATGAGACCAAGAAAGAACTATGTAAAAAGAAAGAACTGGAAAACCCATCAAAATTGTCAGACTGAGACGATTCAACGGATGTGGTTAAAAAGATGCTTATAACCACCTTCCTTAAAAATACAAGTACTTCCCCTTAGTTTTTAATCATAAACCAGCTAAATACAAAAACAATTGAAGTAAAATAAGTTACACTAAAAAATATCAATTTATTATCTTTAACATGACATCCATTTTAATATATATTTTCATTCGTTTTTCATGATTCTCCAATTTTTTTTCTTAATGATGGATATCTCTTATTACGCTTCCTTCTAACTCAACCCCGAAATACGGCAAAGAATTGTGTGAGAAATAAAGCCATGATGAAAAACGTAAGAAGATATGTGAACCCTTGATCACTTTTAATTTCATGTCCACTCATAAATTGCGTTTTAGAAGAGAATTGATCCGGATACACTTCATTAGTGTTGACATTCAATTAGAATTGATGCAAGCATAAAGATTTTTCCTTCTCCACCGGAAGCAAACCCTGCAATATATAAATAAGATGGCATAACGTATGAGGATGGTTTATGATAGGGGGACCAAGAGTGGGCCAAATTGTTATGGCAGCAGCTGCAAAAAATCTAACTCCCGTGACTTTGGAGCTGGGCGGAAAATGCCCTGCTGTGGTTGATTGCATGTCTAGTTCCTGGGACCAAAAGGTAATTTTTCATCTTCTAATTTTATTAATATTTCATTTTTTTTATATTTTAATATGTATTATACGAAATTTATTTATTTTACTTTCTTAGATTGCAATTAAACGAATTATTTGGGGTAAATTCGGAGCTTGTGCTGGACAAGTCTGTATTGGAATCGATTATATTCTCACGCAAAAGAAATTTGCACCAACTTTGGTAAGAAAATAAATCATGTTGTGATAACAATGATCTGTTTGTTTCTGATATAAATTTGAATATTTTAAAGGTGGAGTTCTTGAAAAAACATATCAAGAAATCTTTCGGAGACAATCCGATGGGATCCAACAACATTGCTAAGATAGTAAATAAGAAACACTTTTCAAGGTTGAAGGACCTTTTGAACGAACCCAATGTGAAAAATTCGATCGTTTACGGTGGTTCGTTGAATGAAGAAAACCTGTAAGTGTACGCTTTAATCTCTATTGATTATCCTATTCCCGAGAGGGCAAAATAGTCAACATGGGAATTGATGAAATTGGAGTTGGTTATAGATTCATCGAACCAACAATATTGCTTGATCCTCCACTTGATGCCACAATCATGACAGAAGAAATTTTTGGCCCCTTGCTTCCGATTATTACTGTAAGAAACCCCCCCCACCCCTCTCTATCAATATTCATTGAATGTATAATTGACAATACATAAACTACCATCTTAATGCATTAAGTATGAATAGTAAAATAACTTTTGGATGCAGTTAGAGGCGATTGAAGATAGTATCCAGTTTATAAGGTCAAGGCCAAAACCACTTGCTATTTATGGCTTCACAAATAACGAAAAACTCCAGAAAAGGATGATGTGTGAAACATCATCGGGAAGCATTACATTCAATGATGCCATCATTCAAGTAATTCTTCATATTATTTCCAGCAATTGTTAGTTATAGTGCATGCATGCACATTATACGATTGTTATGTGATATACATTGTCCGTTTTACGACAAAACATTAATAAGTTCTTTTCATCTAATTTGATATGAAAACAATACAGTATGCAATTGACACAATGCCATTCGGAGGAGTTGGCGGAAGTGGGTTTGGAAGGTACCATGGAAAATATTCGTTTGAAGACTTCAGTCATCAGAAGGCGGTGTTAGTGAGGGGATATCTTATTGATTTCGGGTTTAGATATCCTCCCTGGAACGATAAGAAATTACAACTCCTGAAATCTGGTCTACGTTATAATTATTTAACGCTTGTTCTTATAAAATTAGGTCTGAAGAGCAAGGCTTGATAATTGTTAAATATCCAAAACTATCGGTTTCATATTTGAATAATTGTTTAAATACTGTTAATTTTGTTTTATGTGTATAATTATTGGAATTAATAGTGTTGAATATCATATCAATTGCTATATAATATTTGTTCAATACAACATCATATGCTAGCATTAATAAGGTTAATATTTGGGTCCATATATTATATCGTGTTAGTTGTTACATAATTGATAAAAGTAGGTATAAAACCAACTCAATTAATACGGCAATTAACATAATTGGTTAAACTTAACAACCAATGTCATATTACGTCAATGAGACATGTAAAATTAATGATATATGTATCGAATATCATATTTTTATAACAAAAATTGAGAAGTCTTGAGAGTTTTTTTTTTTTTTTTTTATAAATATAAGGAGTGAATGTCGACAGTTGGTTTCTTAAAATAAAAATGGAATTACAACTGGTTTTCGTTAATTTGGTGAGATTTGCTCATTTATAGAAGATTTCAGATGGACGTTTATTGAATGCTTACCCGGTAAGTACTAAGCGGGTAATTTTCTTCACAGGATGAACATGGCAAGAGCCAATAATCTTACCCGTAAGAACGATGATAAGGATGAAGAGTCTTACCCGGTAAGTGAGGGTGACGACTCTTACCCGGATAATCGCTTACTAGACAAATTGTTGCATGGATTACGTTTTGATGTACTACAATCTTACCCAGCAAAATGAAATTATAGTGTTGGCTTCTAATGTAAGCACTTACCGGGTAAACATTTAAGTAAACAACCCCTTAGTCTTTTGGAAAAATTACATAAGAGCATCTCTAAAGATTTATATATAATAGACAAGGAAAACTTAAATATACAAAAATGTTGTTTGAAAGTTGTTGAATGATTTAGTACAGAATGATTAAAAGACTTTCATGATATAGTGCAAAATAAAATATAATTGTTTATAATAAAATTATAGCGCTTAATGGTTAAGGGAGGCCCAAGATACAAAATCATTCAGAGGGTTTTAGAACCATTAAGAGACATTTTTTTTTTGCCACACAAGATTCATCTCTTAACGATTCAGATGTTGTCTCTTAGGGGTGTTTGGAATTGCTTATAAAAACAACTTATTGACTTATTCTGGTGTGGCACCGGTAATAAGCATTCTTTTAGTGTTTGAATAAACAACTTATACCGGTGTCAAACCGGTAATAAAAAGTTTTTGAATAAGTTAAAACCTCTTGACTTATAATAGGTTGATAAGTGATTTTATAAAAAAAAACATAATTTGTTTCAAATAAGCAATCCCAAACATCCATTTACTAAAATATTAAGAGGTAAATAAACAACCCAAAAGAAGGGTTACATTCAAATCTAAAGTCACATATCCGGGTAAGCGTTTACCAAGTCACATTACCTCACCGAATGAATATGGTAAGAATTAAGAATCTTACCTGGTAAGAGTGAGACAAGGACCGTGAGTCTTATCCAGTAAGTGAGGGCGACGACTCATACCACTGTAAGCGCTTACCGGGTGAATTGTTGCATACAATGTCGTTTTGATGGATTAAAATCTTACTCGATAAGTAAATAATAGTATTAAATTTTACCGGTAAGCACTTACCGGGTAAGTGTTTGATAAACGGCCCCTTAATGTTCTACACTTATTTGAACGGGACAAAGAAAAGGTGTAATTGTCCCATTTAAATGTTGCCATAAATATGAAACCCGTTTTTGTCTTGTTAAACAGGGTTGGCTAGTTAGAAGGGTCTGGGCTTAATCCTACTCGTGTAGTTTGTAAAAACTCAACCTTTAAAGCATAACCAACTCGTGTAGGTTGGGTTGGTGCAAGTTGAGCTTGTCTGGTTATGACGTAACAAGATCACAAGAGTAACATACTTAAACAACCAGATGACATCATTACAAGTTAATTGAACTTTTTTATACTACATGGAGAACACTCGAAAGTTTCATAACAACATCAAAAGAGAAAGTTGAAGATTCATGCAAATGGAAAAATAAAATTACGAGTTGAATAATAATATACTTAAAAAAATAGTTAATCACCAATATGTGTAATTGTTTAATGCACATATTAATATAAATTCAACAATCATATTAAACCCAAGAAATAAAAGGATATCGGGTTTGGGTTCAAATAATAGTAAGCTAATATCAACCAAATACATATGGTTTGACAATTTTACAACTAATTAGACATTGAGTTGCTTCGAGTTGAGTTATTTCGTGTTGGTTTGGGTTGATCGAGTTTTTGAACACCCATAGTTCAAATAGGTAGTGGTCGGCGGTGGTTCAGATCAAGCGGTGCCTGACAATGGTTCAGATTGATGATAGTCACCGATGGTCGACATGGTTCAGATGGCAACGGTCGGTGATGATTCAGATCAACGGTGGTCGAAGGTGGTTGACGATAGTCATATTGGATTTCATCAAAATACCATATAATTGGTAAGGTGTTAAATTTCTTTATTTATGGAATTCGTAGCATTTTGAATATGTTTTCCTTAAAAAAAGAATGAAAATAAAATTTTGTAAATGGAATTGAACTTACTGGATTGGTTCACAACGTACGAATTTAAATTCCCGCCATTTCTCTCCCCTAATTCCCTCTCAGTCTCTCTCTTTCCTTCCCCCTCCTCTCTCTCATTCGATTACCGCCGTTCCCTTACGCTGCAACATCTCCATGGCGGAAACACCGAAGAAGCTCAGGCAAACCCCACAAAAATCACTCAAATCCACTCCAAAAACTCCGAGTCCTCAGACCCCACAAACCCTAGTATCACCTCGGCGCTCCTCCCGCCTCAGTTCTTCACCGCCTCCGTCACGTCAAAAGGATTTACCTGTGACCACACCAAGAGGTTCAATTAATCAAAGAATCAAATACGCGAAGAATGTAGATAGGTTGAAGAAGAAATTGGACGCAAGCGATCCGATCAAGCATGATGATGCATTTTCCCCTGTCTCTCCTGATCGGACGGAAACGAAGAAAAGGAAGAGCAGAACTGAAAATGTGGGTGATAGAGTAAAGGTTAAAGTTTTGAGAAATAAGAAAGAGGAAGGGAAGAAGAGAGATTCTACAAAACCCAAAAGGAGAGTGTATTATAAGAAGGTGTCTTATGATGGGGGAGAGTTTGCGGTGGGAGATGATGTTTATGTGAAGAGGAGAGAGGATGCGAGCTCAGATGATGATGAACCTGAAGTTGAGGAGTGTAGGGTTTGTTTCAGGACTGGCAGAAATGTAATGATTGAGTGCGATGATTGTTTAGGTGGATTTCATTTGAAATGCTTAAAACCGCCATTAAGAAAAGTTCCTGAAGAGGATTGGATTTGTGGGTATTGTGAAGCCAAGAAATTGGGGAAGAAAGTAGAATTACCAGAGGCGCCAACAGGGAAAAAAAGGCGTAGAACTGCAAAAGAAAAACTACTTTCAAGCGATTTGTGGGCAGCCAGGATTGAAAGGTATGATTACTTATCTGAGAAAATTAGAGCAAATTTTATAATTGTTGTTGCTGTTAATTTTAATCTGATGATGGATGTTGTGATTCTTTGAGTGACTTAGTTTATGGAAAGAGGTTGATGGTAGCTTCTGGTTTCGGGGTCAATGGTATATAATTCCCGAGGAAACATCTGCCGGTAGACAGCCACATAATCTAAAAAGGGAGCTATATAGAACCAATGACTTTGCTGATAATGAGGTAATTCATGTTCTAAGTGACACTGTTGTAGGTTGATAACTTTTTATTTTTACATGCAGTCTTAAGTTGCATATATGTTTCATTGCTTATTCTTGTTCTTTCAATCATGTCTTCTAGATGGAAACTGTCCTTAGACATTGCTTTGTCAAGACTCCAAATGAATATGCCAAGGCTGAAAATGAAGGTGATGATGTGTTTCTATGTGAATATGAATATGACGTGAAATGGCACAGCTTCAAGCGAATTGCTGACGTCGATAATAATAAAGAGGTGAGTACTTTAAAAAATTAAGAAATATTGGGGATGCCTGTGCTATATAATGGATTGGAAAAGAGACATCATACCACTTGACCACTTTCCCATGTGTTAGGATGATGAAGAAGCCGACCATGATGAAGATTGGAGTTGTAATGAGGATTCTGACTCTGAGACAGATGAAGACTTGGAATATGAAAAGGAGGATGCATATAAATCAATACGTGGTTCAACCCCGGGTCATGAAGTGGCTGCAGTAAGGATACTTATTTATTCGCTCTTCTAAGCATGTTCTTCTTTGAGATTGGACACAAATTACAACTTCTTTTTTATGCAGAACTCAAGAAAGGGCCATACGTTTGGACTCCAGAAAATCGGGACAAAGAGAATCCCGGAGCATGTGAGATCTCACAAGCCGACTGAACTTGAAAAGGCAAAAGCAACACTTCTGTTGGCAACTTTACCCAAATCTCTGCCATGTAGGAACAAGTATGTTATATTTGAGTTGTTCACAGGAAACCAAAGTTAGAAATTTATTTTCTGTTTAGTCTAATTATGTAATTTCTTTCACATTTTCAATTTTGTTCTGGGGTTTGCATAGCAAAATTCTTTTGTTTCTGTGTGAGTTTTTCTTTCATTGTGATATAGTCTCATTTTCCGCAAAAAAATTTATCTATTGATATTTTCTTATTTGCAGAGAGATGGAAGAAATAACTGCATTTATCAAAGGTGCTATATGTGATAATCAATGTCTAGGACGTTGTCTTTACATCCATGGTGTTCCAGGAACCGGCAAGGTAGATTTTAATGGTTGGAAAAGTATGAAGGGGATTTGATGTGGTTAAACGTAACATATATTGTTATAATCCTTGTTTCGCACTCTTGTTAAGCATTGTGTAAAGCAAAATAAGTTTGAGCTTGTTTTAAATGCTTGAATCAAAATAGCAAATAGAACAAGCTAAAACCCATGTGTTCATGCTATACATCTTTGTGCTTGTAACTAGACTTGACTGAACTAAATACCCCCTGTTAAATAAGAGAAATATGTGCATTATTTGAAGCTGCTTAAGAAGCTCTTTTTTTACATAACCTGGCAGAATTATTAACTAAGACACCCGGATTTCTAATATGCTTTCATATACAGACAATGAGTGTGCTTTCAGTGATGCGTAGCCTTCGGTCTGAAGTTGAGGCTGGAATTACTAAACCATACTCCTTTGTGGAGATAAATGGTCTGAAACTGGCTGCAGCAGAGAACATATACAGAGTACTGATAACAATAATTGAGTTATTTTGAGTGTCTTCTACTTGTACTCATGGCCTAAACTAGATTCATGGCTGTTTTCAGGTAATTTATGAAGCTTTAACAGGACACAGGGTTAGTTGGAAAAAAGCTCTCAACTTACTGAATGACAGGTTTTCAAATGGGACTAAAAGTAGCAAAGATGATGATCGTCCTTGTATTCTTCTCATTGATGAGCTTGATCTTCTAGTAACTAGAAATCAATCGGTAAACAACGACCCAGAATCATATATCTCCTACTTAGATTCATGTGCATTCTAATATATTTTGCAATGCCTGTTTCTCATAGGTCTTGTACAACATTCTTGATTGGCCTACTAAGCAACATTCCAAACTAATTGTGATAGGTGGGAGTCTATCTCCAGAAATCCTTATTTCTCGAGGTAAATTCAGCTATTTCATATGTTTTAATTGATCTGTTTCCATCATTACAGGAATAGCAAATACCATGGATCTTCCCGAGAAGTTGCTTCCCAGAATTTCTAGTCGAATGGGTATACAAAGGCTTTGCTTTGCTCCATATAACTACTTGCAGCTGCAAGAAATCATTGCGTGCCGTCTTAAAGGGATTGATGCATTTGAGAAACAAGCTATAGAGTTTGCTTCAAGAAAGGTTTGTCTTTATGCTAATTGCCATCAACTGAATTTAGAAAGTGGCTACTAATGCATTAAGCAATAAAATTTAACAGTCTTTTGAGCTGGTTCTCTACCATGCAACATTGTTAATCTTATTCAGTCTATTTTGCCTATGTAGGTTGCAGCAGTTTCAGGAGATGCACGCCGTGCCCTTGAGATATGTCGTCGTGCAGCAGAACTTGCAGACTATCGAGTTAAGAAATCAATTTCACTTCCGAAAACGGGTAAGGAGTTTCTTTTACTTCCATAAATTGTCCTTGCGTTTTCCATTTTTTCTCGTGCTTATGTGTTTTCCCGCTGGATTAGATATAAACTCAAATCGGTCGAGAATTTTTTAATATCTTAGGTAAATTAGGATTGCTTTGAGGTGCCCTTTCTTCTACAGCAATCTGTTGATGTATTTAGATGTAGCATGTACTGCCTGTTTGGTAGATTTGCATATTTCTTTTTCAAAAAAGATGTCTATATGGCGGATTTGATGTTAATGCTGCATCATATTTACCATTATTTTGCATAATATACATCTAGTTTATGAAGTGTGATTTCTTCATTCATGTATGGTTGACATTTGCAGGAAAATCCCTGGTTGGCATGGCTGAAGTTGAAGCAGCCATACAGGAGATGTTCCAGGCTCCACATATCCAGGTCAGTGTGAAGAATTTCTGCTAGTGTAAAATTTGGAACCTTCGGCTTCTATCTTCATCTTTCTCCCCTATCTATCTATGTCTTATCTCTAAAGAACACTCGAGTTCATTCAGGCTGCGTGTAGTACATGGCAACACATGATGGATTTCCACTAGACTAGACATGATTAGCGGTATAGTGTTTGGTAGACTAGTACATGATGGGACAAAATGTTAAGATGACAGGATTGTTCCTAAAATGTTGTTCAAAAACATATATGCTTAATTTCTTATATATATATATATATATATATATAATACTATATATATTGCAAGTAGAAGAAGAAATAGTTTATTTTATAATTGAATTGTATTTGGTGGGACAAATAATCAGAAAACTGTCCCACCTAGTCCCATGTACCAGACGCACTACAGGCGCGCTTGGTATGCGGATTGGACTGAATTAATTGTCTGTCTTGTGTTTGGTATGACTAAACTAAGACAGGATTGGACAAGCTGTGTATATAATGTTTGATAAGCTGTCTTGACAAAAATGTTAAAATGACCGTATTGCCATCACATGATGTTTAACATTTTCTTTGTCATATAATACTTATAAATTACAAAAATCAACTAGACATGGGACACCGAGGTTTTGTTTTGTTTTTTGAATACTGAATGCTTACCGAAAAAGTTGGAATGAGATGTAGTTCAAGCTAAATATAACATAATCCGTGGCTAGACCTGGAACAAATAACTACATCTCTTTGTCTTTGCTGCTTTCCACATTTTCTTATCTTGGGGTACACACTACTAGTTAGGTTTACGCACATTGAGTTCTTGGTTTTCATGCTAAATAACTATCATCATCATTTTCTGAACATATGGCATCAAAGATGCCAACATACGTTCATCAAACCATACATTCTGAATGTATGAGCTTGGGCCATTATCCCTTTCTGAACTGAACTGACACATATACTAAGAGTATTTTTTTGTGTGCATAACATAACTCATCTGATATACATGTTAAATCATTTCAAAACATGTAAATGGATAGCATGTTGTCATCTAAGAACATATGTAGACATGTATCATGTTCTGTAAGTTGTAACAGATTCATTTGGTTTAAGCTTAACCTCCTATGTTATTTCCTGTCCTTTCACATCCTGCCTAGGACTTGTATCTCGACTTTGTATCTTATAGCTGCATCACTTAGCTTCTTACTAGTCTCATCTACTTTTAGTGGAGTGTTTTATAACTTTGGACGATGGGTAAAAGGCTCAAGTTACTCGTTATTTATAGTGAGGTGAAACTTACTTTGTAAGCTACTTACATGTCTGCTAGCTGTAAGCTATTTATTTTATAATTCTTGCCATTTTTAAAAAATACTGAAATTAGGCTGTTACATTCAATATCACTATGAATCACCAAGTCATCTAGTTAAATGTAGATTCTGCACTTTTCAGGTAATGAGGAGTTGTTCTAAACTGAGTAAGGTCTTCTTAGCGGCGATGGTACATGAGCTCTATAAAACAGGAATGAGTGAGACCACCTTTGAAAAGGTCAGCTTTTTTCAACCCTTTTGCTGATTCATGCATGCTCTGCAGATGAACTCTAATATTTGTTTATGGCTGCAGTTGGCCCAAACCGTTTCATGTCTCTGTACAAGCAATGGAATAACATTTCCTGGATGGGACACACTATTGAGAATTGGGTAACCCACATTTCCCTTTTTACTTGCAATGAAGCTGGTTTCTACAATAGCAACCAGTACCTTCAAACTGTTATGACCTTATAAAAAAATTGAAAATTTGATATATTCCCTTCATTAACGAGTCTTTCGAGCAGAACCCTGCAGCTGCTTTCTAATAAGCAATTAGTTAGAATACAAGTCAAACAGAAAAAAAGCTTCATTCTTTTACCATCTGTTTTGCGTTATGAAGTAATCAATTGCCTTACTTAACCGGTCTACACTTGTATATTTTTCTTTGCAGCTGTAAGCTTGGTGAATCAAGAATCGTTTTGAGTGAATCAGGAGCAAGTCATAGGTTGCAGAAATTGCAGCTCAATTTTCCTAGGTTGGTTTCTTCGATCCTACTTTTTGTTTAAAAGATAGTTTCCTAGATAGTTAAATTCACAGCAAGTTCGGTTAATTTTAATAACAGAATAGGCAAGTTAAATACTGATACCATTCTGTGTGTTTTTGGTTTCATGGCAGCGATGATGTGAGTTTTGCACTGAAAGACAGCGAGGAGCTACCTTGGTTGACCAAGTATATCTGATATCGAAGGCTAGATGTGGTGTCGATCTCATTTACGAGTTTAATTGTATCTTCAAATTATTCATAATACCTATAAACATTCTCATTGATTTTTATTGTTCAAGTTTTGACCACAAATGTCAAGGACAAGGCTACTGATCAGTTTACCTTTATGTTGTTTGTACCAGAATCATTTGATTAATTCTTATGGACTAAATTATACAAGCATTTATTTGCACTTTATACCATAATTTTCTTTTCTTGAATCATTTGATCAATTCTTATGAGCAGGAAGCCATAAACACCAAGCTCTCCGGAGCTATTGATGATTTTTTGGACTGTTCTCCATAGCCCTGGGATTAGTCGAGGTCCGTGTAAGCTGGTCTGCACACTCAGGCTAACCATAAAAACACCAAGCTCGTAAAAGTTTATTACTCTTATTATGTAACAAAATGATCTGGTTTGGAGCAATTTGATGTTCATCGAATATTCCTTTTAGCCACTCGGTTTGTGGCGCACCATTTAAGGCTTTGGGGATATAGTGGTGGTCTCATCTTGTTCGGATTCAAATCCGAACATTGTCAAAGCCCCATTTGTGGTGGTCTCGGCTGGCTTAGAAACTCACAGTTACCAAAAATGATATTCGTTTCATTAAGATTAAGATAAAGAAACAAATTTACTATATTTGTTATTTTATTTTTTGTTTCATGAAAAAATACATTTTTTTTAACATCTGCTTTGGCATGCGGGTTCTGGGTGATGAGCAGACTACGAGAAAGTGGGACGATCATCCACTCGTCATTCTGTTTCTTCTCCAATATCTCTCCTTCATTTCAAACCTTTTTCCATTCTCGTCCTCCCTGTGTCTCCTCTGATTCTACGCCTGTCAAAAGCAATGGCCGTCGCAGCGGTTGTGATTTTGCCAATAGGCCTACTCTTCCTTCTATCTGGACTCCTCATCAATTTTCTTCAGGTATTCCGCTTTATTTCATTCATCCACTCATGTTTCTCGTTTCCTGAACGCAATCCTTGTTTTTCCAACAGTTTAATAATGAATCATCAAATATTTAGAATTATCTGATGGTGTGGAGATCCAGGATTTAAGAAATTTGTATCTACATTATACATTATACATACTAAAAGTATATAAGATTATTGGTGTTAATTTTATTATATCCATATGCAATTAAAAAGTATATAACCCTCCTTACTCTTCTCACCTTTAAGTCTCCTTCTCACACGATTCTTTGCTTTACCTTGGATTAGTGAAGTTTAGAGTGGTTTATGATATTATTTATTAAAGGAAAATATATATTGAAGACTTGAACACTGATTTTAAATCATGCTTTTCTTGATGCTAATAGCCAGAGCAACTTCAATCTTGTTAACTAATTTGTGACTACTCTTCAGGCATTCCTTTTCATCCTCGTTCGTCCTTTCTCAAACAATATGTACAGGAAGGTCAATGCCCATCTTGCAGAACTGTTGTGGTTGGAGGTCATATGGCTTTTCGACTGGTGGGCACACATTAAGGTGTTTGAAGTTCAATGTTATTATTGCATACTTTTATGTTTCTCATAGTTGTGTTGTCACTCTCCTGGTTATATGATGGAAACCTTCTTCCAGATAGAAATTTATCATGGTAAATGTATAAAATGAATTTGGATTGATCTATTTTCTCATATTTTAAGTGGATGCACAGTTATTGACTCTTAATAACACTTGTGTTATTGGTTTGGCTCTCAAGTTATATATGTGTTAACCTTTATATGGTTTCCTCTTAAAGTATCTTACTTACGTTCATTTACACCATCATCACAACCTGTATTTGATCACAAAGATGAACTTTTTCTTTGGCTGAGCCAATTCATCTCATTGTGCTTGGCCATCATGCTTTGCATATGCTTGTCCTGCTAGAATTTATCTTAGTGCAGCACCCTTACTAGATTCTTACAAAATGTCAAGCACTCACATTGAAGCGCGAGCTTTATTTCTTTCTTGGTTTATAGGATCATATGGAGACTCATCTTTGAAGTAGGTGCTGGCTTGAGAGGCTTGCCATAGTCTACCAGGCATGATTTGCCTGATCCTACTTCACATTGTGATGTCAATTTGAGAAGCTAGCCAACTTCACTTTTTCAGGATGAACTTCATATTTTTAGTTTCCAAGTGCATAGCATTATTCGATTTTCTGATTTTTTTTGTTGGTCAGTCTCGTTAAACCCAAACTGTCAACTGTCGCCCGTCAATAGAATTCATCATAATTGTTTATGATTATTGACAAACGTTTTTGCTTGTCTACATACAAGGTGTATCATCAATAAACATAGCTTCATGACATGTTCCACAATGTTGGCTTAAAATGCTTCTTGTGGTGGTGACGGGTTGTATCTTTTTTCAGGTTGATTTGTATATAGATTCTGAAACACTTGAATTAATGGGTGAGAGCTCGACTTAGCCACTTGTGGTATTATTTCGATAGTTCATGTAGTTGCAGTACTACATTTGTATACAACCTTGAGCATATTTTACATGTCAGCTTATTTCTATTATCTTCAGGTAAAGAACATGCACTCCTTGTCTGCAACCATAAAAGCGACATTGACTGGCTTATCGGGTGGGTCTTGGCTCAGGTAATTGTGTATATGTACATGACATCAAGTCTGGACCCCTTTTAGTGGGTCGGATATGGACTTCTTGGCTCATTAGATTGGCAGAGAATTGGACTTGGTCTGTGTGATGGGTGGGATATGAGACACCAGACAGGGTACAACATGGTGATTTGATTTGCTTCTCAGTTCTCACAAACATCAAATTTTGTATGCGTTTTGACTTTGAAAACTGCTTTAATTAGAGGAAAATCTTTTCTATGTTGTAAGGCATTTGCTCTCTATAATACTTTATGCACCCCTTTCATTAATTTTATGTCTTGTTGGCAGCGTTCAGGTTGTCTTGGTAGCGCTCTTGCTTTGATAAAAAAATCGTTGAAGTTCCTCCCGGTAAGTAAAGTCCATTTTACATTACTCAGTAACTCACAGCAGAGTAGGATGTGTTATCACTTGGCCGTGAAAAAGTGTGCTAAATAAAAGTAAAAAATATGCACATTGCTGGTTTGATGTTGTAACTGCATTAGGATGGCTATATAACCAGCCGTGCTGCATCTCTCAGAATGTTGTGTCATCAAGAAGCAACATATGCAAACGAGAAGACTTGGAAAACCTCACCCCAAAGGTCAGTAACCCAGGGGTGAGAACTTTTGCAGCCTACACATTGACACACCACTAGTGAATTGGTGTCCTGTTGGGGAACTCACAAATATAGGATTAGAACTAAGGACCTCTAGGTGTTGGGGTACCAGGTCTCATGCACATTGGAATAATAAAACTTGCCACCTGTCTAGTAATCCATACAAAACGGGATAGATAAGATGTTTCAAAATTATATCTTCTTAAATGCCGAAACTTTAAGGAAGATGTTGAATCGTACAATGAACACTAGCATGTTGTCTCTATGGTATCCACACGAACCAGCCAAATCCTATTCACGTCCTATGTAAAGAGAGGAGAGCCTTATTCTTTGTGTTGCTAGACATGGTTTCTTGAAGGACTGTTGGGTTTTCAAAAGAAAGGAACATAACATTTTTTTCACGTTTTAGGGTTCACAAAATCATGTAAATATGACTTCCTTTTTTATACATGAGTTTGCATCATATGCACATTTCAGCCATCAACTTTTATCCTTATTCAATTAATAATTTAATTCAATTAAGTTATAAATTAGATAAATAAGTAAGTAAATACTTCAATTATTTATTTATTTTCTTATTCGGTTTTGTTTTTTGCATGTGATTCATCTTCTCAAAGATGCAATAAAACTGCTATGGCATATTCACGGATGCTCCTGCACCCATTACCTTTCTGATGTCCCAACACCAGAACGCCTCCGACTTAAACATAGTCTGAGCTTACACCACCTTATCCTCTTTAGCACACTTGCTAGTATTGCAAGTCCCCTCCATTTTTCTTTTATCTATCCCACAGTGGCGATTGGGCCATAAACTTTGGGGGATTACAAGTTGTAAGCATCCTTTTTTTCTTGAGAAACTATATTGACTATGTGATATGAGCATGTATGGGTTTCCTTGGTATCATTCTTTCGAGGGGACCAAAGACTTCACTTCAGTCACACTGGATGGACAATTTGATCATGTAATCATGCAAGTTTCACCCTGTGGTATTGTCGTACACCCAACAACTATTATGTCACTCAGTTACGATGTGATTAGATTTAGCATCAAAGTGTATGACTTAACCATAGTAGATTTCAAGATCATCAAGTCAAAGGACATTATTCTACTACGATTATATGAGAAACACTTATGACACTCATATAACATCCTCTAGTGTTCTCATGATAGGTTTGTCAAACACACAAGTTCACTAACTTGTACCTATATGTGAACTCCATATGAACTATATGAGTTCCTACATATTCTATTTTCAACTGTAATACTTCAACCTTAGTCTAAATCTAAAATAGTACTTGACTAATAAGGACTTTTTAAGAATCATATTCCAAGGTTATTAACATGTTCATCACACAACATAGAGTATAACAATGACACATAGACTATGCCTTTTAATTAACCATAGCTCGTTAATTTCAAAATACAATCATCTAATGATTGGCTTTTGGGATCACTAACACTAGGTTGTCAGGAGCAAGCTCCAATGATTTGAGCAAGTCCAGTTGGGCAGGGTGGCAGTGATTGTGTAATCTGTGATGCATCTGCTCTAGACTCTATATTTTGGTTCTTCAGTTGGTTAATATTACATCTAGATCTAAGAAGGAACCTGAGTATTTCTTCACATGAAATAAAAGAGTATATGTATGCAGGTTATTGGCTGGTCCATGTGGTTTACGGAATACATCTTCCTGGAAAGAAACTGGTCCAAAGACAAGAATACATTGAAGGTGAGATTTCAATAACCTTTCATAGATCAAAATGGAATTAACCTACGCTCATGAAAACTTTTTTTTTTCTGTCTTTTTTTTTTTGTTGGGGGGGGGGGGGGGATCAACTGCAGGCAGGTTTTGAAAACCTTAGAGATTTCCCAATGCCTTTCTGGTTGGCTGTTTTTGTAGAAGGGACACGCTTCACACAGGCAAAGCTTCTTGCCGCTCAGGAGTATGCTGTTGCAACAAAGTTACCTGTCCCTAAGAATGTTTTGATTCCTCGAACAAAGGTTTAAGATTTCTTTCTTTTCTTACTCCCTCCACAATGTGGAAATAGTGGAGAAATGGCACATGATTATGATCTCAAGAACTACATAATAGTAAAGTGCTAGGATTTCCTATGCAGTTGCATCCAAAATTATCTAGCATATATAGAAATAAAGCCATTTTATATGGTTCAGGGTTTTGTTGCTGCAGTAAATCACCTGCGCTCATTTGTTCCAGCAATCTACAATTGTACGGTGGCCATTCCAAAAGACGAGCCATTGCCAACAGTATTGAGAATGTTCGGAGGAAGATCTTCCAGGGTAAAAACCAACTGTTTCTTGAACATTTACTCGTCTCATTAACAGTTCACAGACATCCTACTTGTCTTTGTAAAATACCAACACATCGACATCCTTGCTTCCTTTTCTAAAGAAGTCTGAACACTGTTTCTTTTAGGTACACGTGCAGATCAAGAGACACTTGATCTGTGATTTGCCAGAAACTGATGATGCCATCAGACAATGGTGTAGAGACATATTTATCGAAAAGGTATTAGAGCATCTTTAACAATATCGTAAAATGCCATTTTGCTAGTTTGGAAACTCCAACTGGCAGGCAAAAGAACGCATTTTGCCAGAGATGCGTGTGATGGATCGATATCAGTTCAAAAATACCATGGTACTAATCAGTGAACAAACTGCGATGGATTTTCAGGATGCTTCATTGGAGCTACATCATTTCAAAAACTCATTCGAGGACATGGAATGTCATGGCATTGGTAGACCAAAAAAGTCATTATTCGTAAGAGTCTTTAATTAAAATCTGGGTGACGATTTTGATGGTTCTATGTGGTCTCTAATTTAATCACCCTTTTTGTTTCTATATGAACAGGTTGTTATAGTTTGGTCATGTGTTCTAATATATGGGGGTGTTGAATTCTTCAAATGGTGTTCATTTTCTTGGGGAACAATAGCATTTTGCGCGGTGGTATTGTTGGTGGTTGTGATCTCTATGCACGTTCTCATCCTATTTTCTCAATCAGAAAAATCGAACCCTCCCCAAGAGGCGTCAGCAATTAATAGCCAAGACATTTTGAAGCACAAGCTTCTTCCATGATCTGAGCAGATAGATAGTCTTGAGATTCCTCTATTTTCGGGTATTTCGCTTGGCGTCGTGATTTTAGTGATCAAGCCTTAAAATTAGCAGGCAATGTGACCAACTGCAGTTTGTATATTATATGTTCATTTATTCGTTCTTAAATTAAGAGGCTATGTGGCCAACGCAGTTTGTATATGGCTTATTATCCTATTCAATTCGTTTTAATTAGATCATATTTAAACCCATTCATGTAAATAGATAGAAACTTTGCTGCTTAAAGATATTGGAGAATGAGAGAGATAAGTTATACAGGTTTTAGATTCGATCCTAGCACCCCACTCTCCCCAGCTGTTGAGTAAACACAAAAAAATGCTCCTTTTGTATTAGTGTCCTTAGAGGCAGGTTGTCTGTGAGATTAGTTGAGGTTGTCGGTAATCAACTTTTTGTCTAAAATAAACTATTATGTAAATTAATTGTTAATTAAAAATATGTTGATTGCCGTAAAACATTTTTATTTACTTTAGTATCCTTGGAATCTTGGAATTTATAGGATGCTTTCGTAGACAAATATATGGTCGAAGTGGCAACCGATAGTCGAATGTGTTGCATTATTGGCAATGTACAACCCACCTCCATTTTACGAAAATGTGAAAACATTCTTATCACATGTGATAATATGCGTGAAGGGACCCTGTGATGTGCGGACGACGTGTTCTATGACATAGGCCGCACCAAAGATTGTTTGCGTCTATGATTTAGCATCATATCTGATGGTCTTGATGGATTATAGTATCATATCAACATCACCCTTCATATGTGATAATAAATGTGAGGGGGCTTAGGGGTTGTTTGTTTACCTCTTAATAGTTCCATTAAGAGGCAACCTCTGAATCGTTAAGCGGTGAATCTTGTTTGGCAAAAAAAATCTGTCTCTTAATGGTTCTAAAACCCTCTGAATGATTTTTGTATCATGGATCTCCTTTAACCATTAAGAGCCCTAATTTCATTGTACATAATTACCAAACAATTATATTTCATTTTGCACTATATTATGATAGCCTCTTAATCATTCTGACCACTTAATCATTCTGCACCAAACCATTCAGCAATTGCCAAACAACCCCTTAGTAGTGTAAGGGAGACTTGGCCCGCAACGAAGATCGCATCGAAAATCGTCGGCATCTCTGATTTAGTATCAGATGCGTATCTTATGTGATGAAATAATAGTATCACATGTGATTGTCTATAGTAAAATCGCGTTCTTGTCTTCTTGTTTGAACCATTTCCTATATATATAGGGTATATTTCAAATACAACCATGTCCATTTGTACAACCAATGCAACCCAATCAATTGAGATATTTATAGAAATGATAAACGTTCATTTATTATGATTTAAATATTTATGAAAAATGATTAAAGTTCATTAATTATAATCAATACTTTATATTAGAAGACAATCAAAACTTTTATGAAATAACATATTAATTAAATTAAATGAACGGTTAAGATTGAATTGTATTGGTTGTACAAATATAAAGGGTTGTATAATAACTCACCTATATATATATAAATAAATTTTTTTGTTCAATTTTAGTTCCCTATATATAAAATCATAATTATAGTTAATTAACTTATCGTATTTAAACAGGTAATGGGTGCTTGGGCCTGTCTCCTCCTTCAAGTTTGTATTTTTCCTAAATACCAACCATACTCCTCACCAATCAAGATACAAATCATTTATATCCAATAATACACATCATCAAACATATCATAAATATAAATTAAATAAAAGATGTGATATAAATAAGATATGATAATTTAAGATGTGAGATTTTCATATCTTATTATAACAATAGGAGGGCAAGACATTAGCCCATTTAATATTGTAACTAAACGTAATAAATGAATACGATATGATTCTTAATTAAAATTATTTATATCTTATGTTTAATAATATCTTAAAATTCATAAAAAAAACTAATAATTCAAAACCAAGCATATGGACCCGGTTTAAGATTCAAGATATAACGGAGCTCGAACATCGATTTGGGTTTAATATGATAATAATGGATATATTTTGCATCATAATTTAATGAAACTAGTCTTAATTTAAACCTATTTATGCACCTCTAATTTAGTCCGTCTCCACCCCCCTCCCCACACACACACACACACACATATATATATATATATATATATATATATATATAACGACATGTCAACATAAATTTACCAATTCAAGTAATTTAATGGACCGATTAACAAATTATAGTTATCATGATGTTTTAAATTAAGTTCGATAATTTAATTGAATAATAAAATTCTAAATTATCTTGATGTTGTGATAGTTATTATCAATCACATGATAAAACCCACTTCATTCATTTAACTTTATATGGTATGTTTTGATACAATCAAATTTAAAGATTGTGACTTGTTGCTTATTTTAAGCAATTTATAACTTGTTTGTTTTGCAATATCAATTTTAAATCTTATTATATTTTTAATGTTATGATTTTGATAAAATAAAAAAGAAATTAAAAACACTACAGAGTTTGGTTTGGGGATTCATCTCAATATTTTTGTATGGGGTGTAAAGTAGGGTTTTTAATAACAGTTTCAATAATTTCATTAGTTTTGAAAAATTATTGATTTAATTTTTATTTAAGATGTTATTTAGAAAAACTATAATTTCCGTAAAAATCATACATGATTTACAATCAATTGACTTTTTTTGAATCACATGTGATTTAAATCGTCAAAATAGTGATTTAAAATAAAATTGGAAAAAAAATACAGTGAAAACAAAATCACATGTGATGTATAGCATAACACATTTGATATGTATAAGATCACATGTGATTTAAAACGTAATTCGTAATTTACAAATATCACATGTAATATTGTAGATAACTTACAAATCTTTTCCACTTCTATGATCAATAGCACATGTGATATGTTGACGAAAATTAGCGATTTATTTTTGGAAAAAACGTCGATTAAATGTGGATGTCATATATGATTTTTAACGAAAATTGTAAAAGATCTTAGATAAATTATTTCAACAATAAACAAATATTTTAAATAAAAAACTAAAACACACTTATTTTAAATGTCATAAAAATAAACAAATAAAAAATTAATCATGCATAAATCACGAAAATTGTAATTTTTTTTTAAATAAATACATTAATTGAATGCATTAAATAACCCTTATATCAATAAATAAATTTTCATATATAATTCATATGCAACCAATGTGACATATGCCTTTTTGGGCGATTTTTAAGAAAAGTTTTATTTAAAACATGATTTAAATAAATGATTGGTTGTGTGATTCATCCTCTTATTTAGATAGCATTCTTGTTTGAACCTTTTTATATAACACATATTATATTAAAAGTTTTATAAATTAAAATAAAAAAATATTTTAAAATACCCAAGTAGCACATGAACTCTATTTAGAATGAATAATTCTTCTTGCATTTTTCGAAAGCCAAAATAAAGAATCGACAAATTGCTAAAAGAATAAAAACCTAGAATATTATAACCAGACTAAAACACTATGATTGGCCCCCAAAAGATTTCGGTCGCCTTTTCTATCGATCTTTCTTATATGCCGTTGTATCTACTCCTCACCTGGCAATATCTTACATTGAAACACTCTCAAACAAATACCTTGAAATTTTAGCCTTTTGCATGTAACTCATTTGACAAATAGGTGTAAGGGTTGTAAATGATGCGAGTCAAGTATCGATATACTCAACTCAAACTTAATAGCCATTTCTCAAGCTTGAACAGAACTCGAAAACTTGTGAGTAGTTAAATACTTTACTCGACTCGACCTCTATTGCAATTTCTTAAATTCAAGCTCGAGCTCGAATTCATTTGAAGCTCGAACTCCAACTCGAATCAAGTCCGAACTTGAATCAAACTCGAACCAAACTTACCCGTTGAAATTTATGAAATTTTAAGATCTTTCTCTTATAACCTTTAAAACTTAAAGATGTTCTTTTAAATTTTATAATATAAAGAGACGCGCCTTAACTTCATCGTCAAAGAGACAAAGTTACAAACTCCATTCACTCCCATTTCTTTTTACAACACCTCTCCACCCTTTATTTACCATCTCTCTTTCAAATCCGGGACAACTTTATCAACATTTTATAGCTTTTGTCATCTTTTTAGATTATGAATTTAATTAAAAAACAATTGATTTATAATTAAAAATTACACAATTTTGTTCAAATATCTAAAAATATAATACATTTTTATTATACTATATTTTATAAATTATATTATAAACCTGATTATATTGCAGAACTAATTATATATAAAAATCGAGTATCTAACGAGCTTTTCCAGTCGAGCATTGGGTAGCTCGACTTAACATATTGAGTCGAGCTCGAGTTAGAATCGAGCCTATTCGAGTAAGTGTTGATTGAGTCAATCTCGAATAACTCACGAGTTATTTCATATTATTTATATCCATAATTATAGATGTAGTGATTTTGTCTAAATAAAAGATAGGTACCGTATATAACGAGCCCCACTAACCTTGCCTGTTAATCAAAAAATACCCCCTAATATTAATGTGTTTAAAGACAAGTTAAATCTAACGTCGACAGTAATCAACTTTTTATCGAATTGCATTGAATTATTTTTTCTTACACATGAATCATGATCATGATGACGTAAGCGTGGTAATTAATAATCCATAACCGCCTCTCTTATTGATACAGAGAATTCCCACAAGGTTATGAAGACGTTCAGATATTGCCAACCCTCCGATTTAAATAACCACTAAAAGGAATTCCAACAATAAACAAATCAGCACAAAATCTTTCGATATCAAATTGAGAAAACCATTTTCTGGATTCTGGGTTTCTACTTCTCTACTCATCTATCAGTCAAACTCGATTTGAGATGTCGATCTTGGGTTTAATGGGGTCTGTGAAGGATGAAGAGAAGATAGAGATGGTCGGACAAGGGTCAAAGGATGCTATTTTGTATGTCAATGGAGTCCGCAAAGTGCTTCCTGATGGTTTGGCTCACTTAAGTCTGCTCGAGTATCTCAGAGGTAAAAACAACGACTTACAGTTAAAATTAAAGTTGTCTTTTGGAATTTAATTAGCTTACTTATCTTATTTGTTCGTGAGTAATCTTGTTAGGTTCGAATTAAATTCAAGAATCTCCACCTGATTTGGTTCATAAGAATTTTGTTTGAAAACCTCAAAAGGAAGGGGGCGGGGGAGATTGTGGAAGCACTACTTGATGATCAAGTTGAATCAAAATTCGATTATGGGTTAATTTTAAGATTAAATCCATTTGTCTAGAAAATGGCTTTCTGGGGTTCTTCAAATAGAGACGAATGGAAGGGCTGATCCACGGCAATCTCTATGATTGACCTTCTGATGCTTTGAGCAGACTGCGACTGAGAAAAAAGATTTGGGAATTTCTATCTGAAACTGCAAGATAACTCTAGATGTTAAAAGTTCCCTACTTCATTTGATTGTTTGTGTTTGCATCAGTTGTGATTTTGTTTATTTCTCTTGTATCCATGCTTGTTTGTGATATTAACAGACCTTTAGTAGGTTAGAGGTTTATTTTTTGCTCTATTAACCATAATCATCCGAGGAACTGCGTTCCAAATCAGTGGCAATTTTTGTCCCCATTTCATACAAAAACTTGTTTACTTTCCTACTAAATGATCTGACCTCTCTTGTTGCCCCCTCTTGTGGTGATAAAAGATGTAGGTTTAACAGGAACAAAGTTGGGATGTGGTGAAGGAGGTTGTGGGGCATGCACTGTGATGGTTTCTTACTTTGATCAAAACTCGAAGAAATGTGTGTGAGTGATTTGATCAAAGATTCAGTTCACTTTAGCAAACTTCTAGGCTTTATCCACCTTCATTCATAGATCAGTTTTCCATCTGAAGTATGTTCACTTTAGGATCGTTTTCACTTCCGTTTCCATGTTATTATGACTCGTACAAGATCGTTTCTCGTGTTTATAAGAAGCTATAATCCCATCTCTATGTTGTACTTCAGGCATCAGGCGATCAATGCTTGCTTGGCTCCGCTATATTCTGTCGAAGGAATGCACGTAATCACAGTGGAGGGGTTAGGGAACCGGAGATTTGGTTTGCATCCAGTCCAGGTACACTCTTTTTTAGTTCCCTTATTTCTTATTCCATTTCAATTTATACCTCTTGAACAAGGTACCTCTTGCATTGGCTGTGGTTGTTGCCAACTTGATCTAAAGAACTTAACACGTATAGCATCTGAGCATGGCATCAATGAAATATCGAGTTTAATGCCTACGTTTGATTTCCATATGCCGAATTTTCAACTGAATTTCTCACACTTATGTTATTCCAAGTGCCAAAGGCTAAGCTTTTATGGACTTGTAATGAAGGTTCAAGATGGCATATGATATTTAAGCAGGTTTATATAAAAAATGCTATAAATATTCTGAAAGAGGCATTCTGAACGAAAAATTGCCATCTTTTCTCCATGTCCATTTCTCCTCGGATCAGAGAATGGGCTTCAAAATAACATCTTTGTTTCTCCTTGCATTATCTAAACGGGCCTGCAAAATGAAACGCTAAATGGCCAAAGAATTTTCTTAGCATCTTTATGTATTACTTCCCTTTAAAATATATGCAGGAATCATTGGCACGTAGTCACGGCTCACAATGTGGATTTTGTACACCTGGATTTGTCATGTCTATGTATGCATTATTGAGGTCTAGCAAAAGCCCACCTAGTGAAGAGCAGATTGAAGAAAGCCTTGCAGGAAATTTGTGTCGATGTACTGGTTATAGACCGATTCTTGATGCATTTCGAGTCTTTGCCAAGAGTAATGACTTGTTATACACGAGTGGTTCTGTTCCGTTACAAGAACCTAGAGAGGGTGAGTTTGTTTGCCCTTCGACTGGTAAGCCGTGTTCTTGTGGGTCCAAAACTGTTGGCGGCAAAGAAACCTTCCAACAAACTAATATTTGCCACAGTGACTTTAAGCCTGTTTCTTATAACGAAATTGATGGAAGTTCATACACAAACAAAGAAATCATATTCCCACCTCAGCTTTTGATGAGGAAATCAAGCTATATAAGCTTAAAAGGATCTGGTGGGATCGAATGGCATAGGCCATTACTGTTGAAACATGTATTGGAGTTAAAAGAAAGATACCCTGATGCAAAATTAGTTGTAGGAAACACGGAAGTGGGAATTGAAACTAGGTTAAAGAAAATTCACTACCCGGTTTTCATATCTGTTACCCATGTACCTGAGCTTAATATGCTGAGTGTTAACGATGGTGGCATGGAGATAGGTGCTGCTGTTAGGCTGTCAGAGCTTCAGAAATTTCTCAAAAAAATTGTTGAGGACCATCCTTCTTATGAAACATCAGCTTGTAAGGCTATCATTGAACAAATAAAATGGTTTGCTGGAACTCAGATAAGAAATGTTGCATCTGTTGGAGGGAACATATGCACTGCCAGTCCAATTTCAGACTTGAATCCTCTTTGGATGGCTTCAGGAGCAAAGTTTCAAATCATTGACTGCAAAGGAAACATTAGAACTTCCCTGGCTGAAAATTTCTTCTTGGGTTATCGTAAAGTGGATTTGGGGGTTAATGAGATTCTTCTTTCGGTTTTTCTTCCTTGGACTCGGCGGTTTGAGCATGTGAAAGAATATAAGCAGGCTCACCGAAGAGATGATGATATTGCACTTGTAAATGCTGGAATGCGTGTTTATCTTGAAGAAAAGGATCAGAAGTGGATTGTTTCGGATGCATGTATTGTCTATGGCGGGGTTGCTGCTATTTCGCTATCGGCCATAAGAACAAAAGATTATCTTATTGGGAAGGCATGGAACAAGGAACTTTTGCAGCATTCTTTGGAAATCTTGAGGCAGGATATCGTGATTTCGGAAGATGCACCAGGTGGTATGGTGGAGTTTCGTAAATCTTTGACTCTAAGTTTCTTTTTCAAATTCTTCTTGTGGGTATCTCATCAAATGGACGGTCAAGATTTCTTTAACGAACCTGTACCTAAGTCGTATCTATCGGCTGTTGAGTCATTTCACCGTCCATCCGTCGTGGGTAGTCAAGATTTTGAAATTATGAAACAGGGCACTGCGGTGGGATCTCCTGAGGTTCATCTGTCAGCAAGACTTCAGGTAACAGGAGAGGCCGAGTACACGGATGACACCCCAATGCCGCCTGGTGGTTTACATGCCGCTTTAATATTAAGCAAGAAGCCTCATGCTCGTCTTCTCTCAATTGATGATTCAGGCGCCAGATCTTCACCTGGGTTTGCCGGGATCTTTTTTGCCAAAGATGTTCCAGGTGATAATACTACTGGCCCTGTTGTTGCAGACGAGGAAGTTTTTGCTTCGGAGATCGTCACTTGTGTCGGCCAGGTCCAGAAATTTTCTTATCCTCCAAGGGTTTTTTGAAATGGAGAAATCAAATTGATTTACATCTTGATTTAGGACTTATTTACTTTTTGAACCATTATACCAGGTTTTTGCAGCAAACAAACTAGTTGTTCTTGCGAAAATGCAAAGAAAACACTATACTTTGCAAGAATGAGCGATTTTGGACAAAAGTTGCAAGTATTGAATGTCCCTTTTTTGCCCAAAATTGCTTTTTCTCGCAAGGTGTTCTTTTTTCTTCCTTTTTTTTTGCATTTCCAAAAGAATGATGGGTTTACAATGGTTTGTCTCTGAAAAGTTTATCAGTCGTCATCTAAAGTAGCCGTTATTCCTTATCATTTACTGCCAAATTTATGCAGATTATAGGAGTTGTTGTTGCTGACACTCACGAAAACGCCAAACTTGCAGCAAGAAAAGTTGTCATCGAGTATGAAGTTCTGCCTGCGATCTTATCCATAGAGGATGCTGTTAAGTCCAAAAGTTTTCACCCTGATTCGTATAGGTCTTTAAGTAAAGGGGATGTTGGACTCTGTTTTCAATCCGATGAATGCCATACGGTCATCGAGGGTGAGGTTCATATTGGAGGCCAAGAACACTTCTATTTGGAGCCACAAAGCAGTTTCGTTTGGACTATGGACGGTGGCAATGAGGTTCACATGATTTCATCAACTCAAGTAAGCACCACATGATTTGTAAGATCCTTATAAGCTCAATAACTTCCACCATGGTTTTAAGTTGATTCGGAGGTTATTCGATCAGCCTACTGCTTTGGGCTTTTGCATAAGCTTTGGCCTTTTCACTGTCTTTAATGCATTTCTGTTTTATGGGTGTCTGTTTTCGGACTGATTTTGCTTTTTTGCTTGTATATAGGCACCACAAAAGCATCAAAAGTATGTGTCACATGTGCTTGGTCTCCCGATGTCGAAAGTGGTTTGTAAGATAAAGCGAATTGGTGGTGGATTTGGTGGGAAGGAGACGAGATCCGCTGTATTTGCCGCTGTTGCCGCTGTGCCTTCATACCTGTTGAATCGTCCTGTAAAACTTACGTTAGACAGGGATATAGATATGATGATATCTGGGCAGCGGCATAGCTTTCTTGGAAAGTATAAGGTATGATTTACTAATTCAATTAGTCAAAGATTTGTGTTCTTAGATTTCGCAAACCCGAGGAGCCTTGGTGCATTAGGTCGGGTTGTTTGGACATATGATTGAACAAATAGTATGTTTGCTTGGCTAAAAAAAGTGCTATTACATGAATTAGGTTGGGTTCACGAATGAAGGGAAGGTGCTTGCACTTGATCTTGAAATCTATAACAATGCGGGGAATTCGCTTGATCTTTCTCAAGCAATACTCGAACGTGCAATGTATCACTCGGATAATGTCTACGAGATTCCCCATGTTAGAGTTAGAGGAAGTGTTTGCTTCACTAATTTTCCTAGCAACACTGCGTTCAGAGGGTTTGGTGGACCTCAAGGCATGCTCGTTACTGAGAATTGGATTCATAGAATTGCCATGGAAGTTGAGAAAAGTCCAGAAGAGATCAGAGTATGTTTTTCGTACTTGTTAAAATTTCAAATAGATGTTTATTTTGTTTGATCGAGATTATTACTAGGATATGTTTGGTGAACTAGCTGATTAGCTGAAAAACCGGTTGTTGGCTGATAAGCTAGCCGATAAACTTGTCACGTTTGGTAAAAACTAGCTGATAAGCTAGATGACTGCCTAACATGACATGTTGAAAAATTAATCAAAAAAATATCAGTGGCAAAATTATAAAGAAGTGGAAAAAATCCCCTGAAGTTTCAAAAAGCTATCTTATAAGCTATTTTCAAACAGGCTTTTTCAATAAGCTAAAAAAAATTATCTTATGGTTGCCAACATGGCCTAAAAGTATGATTCTATTTTCAGGAAATTAATTTCTTGAGTGAAGGGTCAATATTACACTATGGTCAACAAATTCAAGACTGTACTTTGCATCGGCTGTGGGATGAACTTAAGAAATCCTGCAACTTTCTGAAAGCTCGAAGTGAAGTTGAAGAGTTCAATCTTAATAATCGATGGAAAAAACGTGGAATTGCTATGGTTCCAACGAAATTTGGCATTTCATTTACGACAAAGTTCATGAACCAGGTGATTTTGTGTTTGACATGATCGACTATCATTTCTTGTTTCCAATGGTTATGTTTACCATAATAGTTACATGTTTTAGTGCTCATCGGCTGCAGGCAGGTGCACTCGTTCAAGTGTATACAGATGGAACCGTGTTGGTCACACATGGCGGTGTCGAGATGGGACAGGGTTTACATACTAAGGTTGCGCAAATTGCTGCTTCCGCCTTTGAAATTCCTCTTAGCTCGGTATTTATTTCAGAGACGAGTACTGACAAGGTAATAACATATTGTGACGGACTTATCTGTCGGAAATAGTACATGAAAATTAAAATATTATTTTGAAATGTAGCACTATGTATGCTTTTCTCGATGGCTTGGTAACTTGTTGAAAAAGCCTCGTTTGTAAGCCATATGCTAGCTTTTTGAAAAAGAAATTCAGATAGTGTTCCAATGAGCTCCGGTGGTGTTTTTTCATTTTTTCCAATTATGCCTCCTATATTTTGCATAAATGACCAAAAACCCTATGTCCCTTTAGGTCATTTTAAATTGTAATCTAGTTTGTCAGCTAGTTTACCGAACGTGACTAGCTTACCGGCTAATAACTGTTGCTTTATGCTGGTTAGGTTCCTAATGCATCTCCGACAGCAGCTTCCGCTAGTTCTGATATGTATGGTGCCGCAGTTTTGGATGCTTGCAAGCAAATAAAAGCAAGAATGGAGCCGATCGCATCTAGGAAAAAACATACTTCTTTTGAGGAGGTACCTTGATTGATTCAGGAATTCGAACAACAAAAGGACTGAATTACCATCTAACTATGGGTATCATGTTTCAATTGTTTTCAGTTGGTAAATGCATGCTATTTTGAGCGTGTAGATCTTTCTGCACACGGGTTTTACATCGTCCCTGACATTGGTTTTGACTGGGGGACCGGCAAAGGCCATCCGTTCAGGTATTTCACATATGGAGCTGCGTTTGCGGAGGTGGAAATCGACGCATTAACCGGAGATTTCCACACAAGGGCCGCAGATGTTATATTGGATCTCGGATTCTCCATCAATCCAGCCATTGACATCGGACAGGTACCTTCTCGTTTCGCTTTCCATTTATCGATCATTACTCGGATGCTCAAAAAGCAATGAATGATTGTTTTGCATACATATATAGATTGAAGGAGCATTTGTGCAAGGTATTGGATGGGTGGCTTTGGAGGAGTTGAAATGGGGAGATGAAGCTCACAAATGGATTCAATCAGGTTGCTTGTTCACATCTGGTCCTGGAAATTATAAAATTCCATCTGTCAATGATGTCCCATTCAAGTTCAAGGTTTCTCTATTGAAGGTAATCAATCATTCTACTCTATATAATATTATATACTTTCGCGCACTCCTCACATTTAGTGATATTTGAACCGATGACCTTCCGGGAGGACGAGCTCTACCGATAACCTGGGTACCGTTGGGTCAATGACCAACTTGGGGCTGTTTGGTTGGTTTTCGTGTTTGTTTTCAACTTAATAAGCTTAATGGGTGGTTATCTTAATTGGTTAAGTTATATTAAGGTGCTTGATTTTAACTTAATCCTAAAAGATTTGACTTAACATATTAAGTTAGCTCATCCTATCTTAATGCATTAAGCTATAAATGTTCCCAAAATTACCCTTGTCCTACAATTTTTAATCACACCTATCATTAAAAAATAAATAGTTAAACGACATGCATAAATTAAACAATAATACTTTATTGTTTTATATATATATTTAAAGTTATTAAGTATTATGTTATGAACTCATTGAATTCATATTATTTATGTTATTTTAAGTAATTCATATTATTTTTACTTTTTTGTCATAAAATCAAATAAATTTTCATTCAACATATATGTAGACACTAGACATTTTTGTTAAGATTATTTATTTAGGACAAAAATTGTTGAATTTATCTTAAAGCTGTATGAGTGGATTAGTCTGTCTATATAGATTGAGAAGGTTTTTGTGTGATAGGGTTTTTTCATAGATGGAAAGAGTGTTTTTTAATTGGGAGGGCCATGTTTGGAAAAAACGTGGGTTTCTGCACAAAGCTTCCCCAGCTTACTGAATAAGCCACTTTCTATATCATTATGTCGCTCCCAAACAGTCATGTATACCTGACTGTATAAGCTGTGAGCCCTGTTAAGCCCATTAAGTTACTAGTGAACAGACCCTTACGGTAGTTGTAAAAAAGGTTCCAAAAATTTGGTTTTTCAATCTGGGATTTGTTTGTAATACAGGATGCTCCGAATGATAAGGCCATACATTCATCAAAAGCTGTTGGTGAACCTCCATTCTTTCTGGCTACATCGGTGTTTTTTGCCATAAAAGATGCGATTGTAGCTGCAAGAGCTGAATCGGGGTGCCATGGCTGGTTTCCTCTCGACAACCCTGCAACTCCTGAGCGCATCCGGATGGCGTGTACCGATGACTTCACCACACCATTTGCCAAATCTGATTTCAGACCCAAACTCAGTGTTTAGTAAACCAATGTTATTCAAGAAATCTTTAGATGCAAATCTGCACGTCAACAACTATGGAGGAAAAGAGAGGGATGAACAGATGTCTTTTTTCTACTCTGCGTAATTAAAAAAGGAAAACAGGTATTTACTCAGACTTGTTTGGTTTGTATTATTTCACTTTTTTAGTTTAATTCAGCATCTTTGTATACCCATCAAAATTAAACATAATATTTCAGTGCAGCTTTCTTGCTTCTCATTGATTTATCGTATTAATTAGGCTAATTTTTTTTTTTGTGAAATCACTGACAATTTTCTCAGTAATTTGTTAAAAATTGTGAATTTCGTCCCTGTGGTTTCAAAATTTTGGTTTTTATCCTTGTGGTTTACATTTTATTTCTATCTTTGTCCCTAAGCTCGAAATAGCCTTAAAATGAATGATTAAAATAGAAATAAATTGTAAACTTTAGAAACGACAAAATCAATAAATTTTAAATTATAAGGATAAAAAAGGTAATGCATAAACCATAAGGATGAATTATACAATTTTTCAAAACCGCAAGGATAAAAATCATAATTTTAAAACCATGAAAACACATATTTTCAACAAATTACAGGAACTAAAAACGTAATTTACTCTAAGTTTTTTAAAAAGCCACACCAATTATCAACTATGTTTTAAATGATAGGTTAGTTATTTGATATTTTAACTGATTATAATTAAGATAAGTTTATAGAACATTTTTTGAAAAAAAATATTCAATAAAAACAAGTGTTTTATGAAAAATATATAAAAATCTTCTATAAGATTGCTTATATATTTTAAAAATATTCCAAAACACTTGTTAAAATATCTAAAAGTACCCTATAAAATTTATTGTTACATTTTTAAATAAGAAACATTATTTTTTGATTCCGCAAACTTTAGTGCTAAAAAGCCCCTTATTACGATACTATAAACTTGATTTTATAATAGTATCCTCATTATCCCAAACACTACTAAGCACCAGACTATCAATAACGAAAAGTTACCGAAGATATTATTGATGGATGGATTACCAACAACATGAAATTTTACAATTTTTTCGTTGGTGATTTCATGACCATCGGTGATCTGTAGACTGTAGGTAAAGAATATATTCACTGACGAAGTACGAACAGATGTTGAAATATGATATTAATTTGTTCCAATCTTGTCATGTTAGTAATTTAAGGTATTGTTATTTTATCTTCTAGAGTTTTAGGGACTGTTTTTGTTAGTAATAAATGATAAATACTTGGAGGACTGTGCCTCACTTCTAGCCAAGTACAAGGGTAACAGAGTAATGCTGTGAAAAGTGCAAGTACTATCTATCTTATTAATCTCTTTATTCTCTCTAAAACAAGTTGTGTATAATTAGGGTTTCTATCTTATTGACCTGAATATCCAATCCATTATACGAACAGAATAATCCCAGGATGACCACCTGCTATGCAACGATTACTAAATTTTAAAACGAAGAAACAAATTAGTTATCTAGATCCCAATAAACTTAAAGAAAATGGAACAAAACTAAATAACAAGATAACTACATTAGATGCGGCCTATTAACAATTAATATTAATAAAAAATCAAAGGCGAGCAATAAAAGACTAAGTCAACATATGCAGAAAACTAAATAAATACAGAAAATTTAACAAGTGCATAAAATTAATCAATAGTGCTTAAAAGTAAAAGAGTGTAAGCTTCAAACCAAATCTTCTTCCCCCTTATTGAAAAGATCGACCAAAAAAACTTGTGAAAAACCAAAAAATCGTGTTCTAAGAGAATAGTACGGTCTATCTCCAAGAAAAAAACCCATAAAAAAACAATAAAAAAGCAAGTCAAAAGTACCAAAAAAACCTATAAAAATTCGGCTACCAGGCCCCTTTCACGACTGTGAAGACATCCCTTCACGGGTGTCAAAGCAAATAGAAAGTTTAAAAGTTTTCAGACAAGGTTCATTGGCGTGAAAGGTGGGTTTCACGCCCGTGAAAGCAAACAAAATGTAATTTTCATTTCAGAGGGGTTTTCTTAGCGATCTTGAAGGCTATCCAACACCCGCGAAGCGTGGCAAATCTTTAATCTTCAAATTTTCAACTTTTTGCTGAAAGTCTCTATCATCATGGCCATGGGTACAAATCTCCTCCTTCGCTTCCTTCTTGGCATCGCTCTTCGTTCCATCCGATCCATCCACCATATTGCCTTCAACATCTCATATAATCTACATAAATTATACCAGAAGCATAAAAACTAATCAAAAAACATTCCAACCATAATTAGAGAAAGAAATGGAAAAAATAATAATAAAAGTGCATGAAAAGACTAAAATGCATAGAAGGCACAAATAAAATACACAAAGCTACATGCATAAAATACATTCAACAACGAATGTCCAATTTCGCATAGAAACGTAAATATAATAATTTTTTATTAATTATCTAAAACCGTACATAATTTTTATCTTAGACAATATTTCATTTGTTTACTTCCGGCAAAGAAAGAGTAGAAATAATTGATATGCGATAATTAATGATTCATAAAACATAGATGAATTAACGAAGATCATTCCACGTTAATCTTACCTCATTCGGCTTTGTTGAAGAATTGAAGTGAAGAAGCTTAACCTTTACTAATGTCATGGTAGGTGGCATTACAAATTTGTTCCTTAATCAACTCCTAACACATTAATTTAATATATATATTTATTTAATTCAAATTTGATTTTTTCTGATAAATTGATGATATTGTTATTAAAAACAGAGTTTCAATAGCAAACAATCTCTGAAAACAAAGAACGTAGCGATAATCTATTTGGTTAAACACAAATTTACAGCAGCACAAAACCGGTGTTATGATGCAAATCAGAAAGAAAAAATTAGAAGGAACACAAAGATTTACGTGGTTCGGCCTTAGCCTACATCTACCGAGCAGACAAATTCACTACCAAATTGTGGAGATTACAAAGGTTCACACACTCACATTTACACAACATTCTACTGTTCCTCTTTCTTAGAAAAACCACAAGTCTTTCTCTTTTCTTTTGTATCTGTATTATACTCATTTATTGTTGTCCTATTAATTAACAATTAATTATTGCTTTATAATAATATAGAGGAATGAGAAATAGAACGATAATACAATATACATGTCATATGATGATTGATGGATAGAAAAGGTTTATGTAAGAAAATGCTTTGTACAACATAAAAAAGTGTTTTGTAAGAACCCCATAAAAGTGGGACAACCGGATTATGTTCTACCAGAACCCGTAAGATATTAATCAAAAACACACACACATATAAAAGTAACGTAAAATATCTATATTTTTTCGTTGATGGTTCTAATTCATTGGAGGTTCTATGTTCATGTTTAGCCATGCATTGATTGTTCTATTTGTTTCAAGATTGAGCCATCTTATATTAAAAAAAAGTTATTCCTTGATTATTTGTTTTCAGATGAATGAAAAGCAATAGCAATAGCAATAGCATTTACCCATTTGATGTGGTAGCATAAATATACAAAGGTATAACTTAAATAAACAAAGGTAACATCGAATGTTGGTTGCATCATTAATTCAAGAATACATAGTTGAATAAGAATGACAACCTTATGCATCAGTAATGTCTTGGCGATGGGGGAGACTTATAGTAGTAAGCCGGAGGAGGGGAAGATTTTGATGGAGGATGAGGTGATATATGGTTATATGGATGTGGAGGAGGAGACGTGTAAACGTATGGAGGTGGTGGGGATGGTGATGGTGGAGGGGGAGACTTGTAAACATACGGAGGTGGTGGGGATGGCGATGGCGGTGGAGGAGACATGTAAATAAGGAGGAGGAGATTTGTGAAGAGAAGGTAGATGAGGCCATGTGTGCTTCGCCTTCAATGGTGGTGGTGGGGGAGACTTGTAATGCTTCAGCGGTGGTGGCAGCCTCCATCCATAAGGGCGTGGAGAGTTATAAGTGTAAGGTTTATCAGCAACAACAATGGTGGCTAATAAGAGGAAAGCAATAACATTTAGAAATTGAGGCCATTGCCTCAACACCTCAAGACTTGCCATGTTGATCAGATTTGTATTTGTGGGTGAGGATGATTTGATTAGAACCTTTTTTATATATAATTAATCTTTTTTGTTTTCGTAATTGTTAATGGTCTAGAAACGACCTTGATGAAAACGTGACATACTTCTTGTTGCTCTTGTTATATTTATCACAATCGTTGTAGTAGTGGATACATGTAATTATCGTTTAAAGCAATTGTGAGAATGGCAATGGTAGGGTTAATGGGAGACATATTATCCTTTGGTTACTTGAAAACAAGTTGCATTAGATCTGCATAAAGGGGAAGAGTCTCACGAATTGAAGGTGGTGGTGGTAATGGAGGGAGGAGTGCTGTACATGACTATATATATATATATATAGGTGGAGGTTCAAATGGGAACCCCTATAATTTACGAGAATACGAGAACAATCTAATAACCTCAAACTTTTTTAATTAATAAATTAACTTATATTAAATATAAATAAATTAACAAATACAGTAATATAATTAAGTAATTTTTATAATTTTTATTTTATTTTAATTAATCATAATTATCCCTTTTTTTCTGCATGTTTGTTTCCATTCTCTTCTCTCCCCTTGTGATAATTGTGTGATTGTGTAACCATAATCTATCGAAACCATGATCAATCAAGTGTAACCATAATTATGATAAATGTGTGATTGTCTAACCCTAACCGATCGAAACCATGATCAAATTGAGTGCGCAAGTGATGTTATAATAGTGATATCACATGATTATCACACCCATATCGCACCAAATTGTTTAGTGGATTTCGCCCGTAATCGTTGTGATAAATGTGTGATTGTCTAATTCTAACCTATCAAAACCATGAGTAATCGTTATGATAAATGTGTGATTGTCTAACTCTAACTGATCGAAATCATGATCAAATCGAGTGCACTGTTATGATAGTGATATCACATGATTATCACACCCATATTACACCAAATTGGTAGTCGATTTTCTAAGTTAACCCTAACCAAGCGGAATTCTTGTGATAATTGTGTGATAATCACATGATTATCACACCCATATCACACCCAAATCACACCAAATCGTGTTGATATAAGCGATAATGTGATAATCACACCCATATCACATGATAATCACATGATTAACCGTTTATTAGATAATGATAATCATGATCGTGTTAAAAGATTTTATGATATCATTTCCATTATTATCCTT